TTATATTTTTTCCTTTCTCCCTCCCTTTTTTCTCTCTGCACTTTTTATTTTTTATATTTTTCTTAGTTTTAGTTTTTTTATTTTTGTATTTTTAAACTTCAATACAAATTATTATTAAAAAAAAGAGAAGTTTTGAGGTGTCTACATGATTCTTTGCATGGAGCTGGCAAACAAACAAAAATCCTAACAATTACAATGCTCTTTGTTGATCACTGCATTCACCCTCTAATATCACTTTAATCCTTTAAATGTTCAGAATAAAATGAGGATTGCATGAGTGTATGCTACTGTTGGAAAGACAGTATTTTCCTAAACAGCCCTGAAGAGTGAGGGGCAAAAGTGAACCAATGTTTGATTCACTAATGTATACTAAAACTCGGAAGAAATCTGGCCACAATTTCCTACTATTTTCTTCCCTTGTGGAAGAGACTTCTGTTTTCTACTTCACTCTCAGGGTGCTTTGATTCTTTTCAGTTTTTTTTTTCCCCAGTTGCCAGACTTGTGGCCTGTCCCGGTTCTTTTTCATCTTATTTTTATTAGAATTTTTCAGTACAGTACAGTAAAAGTATACAAAATTAAAAGAAGATTAAGGAAAAAAAAGTATATAGAAAATAAGAAAAAAAATGAAAAAACAAAGAAAACATAGAATTATGACTTCCATCCTTCTTTCTATCGAGTAATTGCCATCTTATTCTTTCCCTTACCTCTTTAACCCTTTCTAATCCCCAAATCCATAAATCATCGGTTCTGTCTTTTCTTCAGCAAAAAGTCCATATAAGATATCCAGTCTTTTTAAAAAGTGTTTGTTTTTTCCCTGACCAAATTGGTCTGCTTTGTCATTTCTGTGAGCTCCATCAATTTTATAATCCAATCTTCTACTGTGGGTATTTCATCATTCTTCCATCTTTGTGCATATAATAATCTTGCCACAGTTACCATATACAATATTAATTTATCATATTTTTTTCTAGTTCATCATCCATAAAACCCAATAAAAATAATTCTGGTTTTATTGTAATATTAATCCACAGTATCGTTTGCATCTTAGTAACAATTTATATATTTTAGCTATGATATGATCATAATTTGTACATAACTATTTCATATTCAGTCTTCTTCTCAGCTCCAATGTCCTTTTGTCCATATTAAACCTCTCTTTCATCTGATTATAAGAAAACCATTGAATAGGATGTTGCTAATGGTTCTCTTGTCTTCATCTTAATTTCTTCCTTATTTTGTATTAATAAATCTTTATATGTTAACCATCATTCTTTATCTGCTGTTTCTCTTTTATAAAAAGCTTTGGACACAGTCTGGGTTTATATTTATTCCATATTCTTAATAACATGTTTCTCAAGTAATGATTCTTAAAATCTACATTTACTTTCACTTTGTTATACCATAAGAAACCATGCCACCTAAACCTCAAATTGTGATCTTCCATCTCCAGTATTCTCTTATTTCTTAACAATATCCATTCTTTCACCCATACTAAACAACATGCAGCAAAGTATAATTTAAGTTTAGGTACCCCTAATCCTCCTCTTCTTTTTGCATCCTGTAAAATGTTACATTTTACTCTTGGTTTTCTAGTTCTTCTGATGGCATGCTTGAGCATCAGTGTTTTAAACTTCCAGAGGGTCCTTTTTCTTTTTCTATGATTCATCTTTCGACCCTTCTACAACTTCCTTAACCATCCATGCTTCCTAAGCAGAGAAAGCCTTGATGGAACAGTTCTGTCATGATACAACCCATCTATGAAACCTCCTTGGGATGGGGAAAAATAACTTTTCCCCTTCAGACTGAATGGGAATAATTCAGGAAACATTTTTGGCACAGCACTAAAATTAATGTCCTTAATTTCTGTTGCAAAGCTAAGCATACTATGTGGCTACGGGCCATGCTACCAGTTAGGTGGCAACACTGACCTTGGCTGATCTTGAAAAGTATATTGAATGAGCTTTCTTTCAATTGGAAAAACAATTTGTAAGCAATGGAAAAGAGATTATATGCAACAGCTATGACCTGCATACACTAAACTGAAATGTATATGAGATAATTCCATTCCTATTCTGTCACAACAGAATTGAAAATTTGGTGCTTCTTATATATTCTTATCTATATTGGAAAATGAAATCCAAGGCTAGCTTGAGCCATGAATTAACATAAATTGATTCAGGACCAAGTTCAATTTCCACTTTAAAAATTAATTCAAATTAGTTTATTGGCAGGCAAGTGAACAGTAACAACTCTTCAGATTGTTAACAAAGGCAATTTGAGAGATTTCTTTTTTAACAGCAGTAAAATTGTAAATCAGAATACCTGATTAAAAAATTAATGACTGCCTTTCTTCTCTGTGATGGGATGTAGGGATTTTTTAATACATAAAAAAGCTCATTTTCAGATATCTTGTTCACCTTCTACACAGTGGAAACACTCTTCTGCTCTGAAAGTGAAAGTTGCTAAACTAATTTCAAAAGAGTATTTTGACATTCCAGAATTTTGTCATGGTACATGCCATGACAGAGGAGGCATGCTTCGTCCATACCACAAGATAATATTTAACTGAAAGGACTTGGAGTGTTCCCACTCTGTTCAATCATACCTGACAGGCAGAAACAGTTGGAGACAGGTGCTCCTCATGCTATGAAGGGCTTTATAGGGGGTGACCAACAGTATATTGCACCTGGAAGCTGACTAGACACATGGGCGTAGCAAGAAGCACCCATTGGTGCCCATACTGTTGTATTTTGAACCAGCTGTAGCTTCCAGATCTCTTCAAGAGCAGCCCCATGTAGAGTGCATTGCAATAGTCCAATCATGAGGTCAACAAGGTGTGAGTAACCATCTGAAGAGCCTCCCAGTTGAAGGAAGGCTGCAACTGTTATACAACATGGACTTGTGCAAAGGCCCTCTTAGCCACAGCTTCTACCCGTTCTTCAAGCAGTAGTTGCAAGTCCAGGAGGACCCACAAATGGGGAAGTACAACTTCATCCAAGTCTAAAGGTGAAAATGTTTCAGACCTAGGGGGCACAAATAGCTTCAGTCTTGTCAGGATTGAGCCTGAGTCTGTTCCTTCCCATCCAGACTTGAACAGCCTCCAGACCGCGGATAGGTATGTCGATAGCTTCACCTGGGCAGTCCAGGGTTGAGGCGTACAATTCAGTATTATCACCATACTGATATTGGATCCCCAACTGACAAATGACCTCACCCAGCAGTTTAATATAGAAGTTAAACAGGAGGGGTGAGAGTGTCGAACCCTGAGGCATGCAAGAGGTGAGACCTTCTCCCTCCCTGTCAACATAAGAACTAACCACTGAGGAAGGAGGGGAACCACTGCAGCACAATGTCCACCCCTCCTGACCCCCTCAGACAGTCAAGAAAGATACCGTAGTTGATAATATCAAAGGTCAGTGAGAGATCAAGGAACATGAGGAAGGACATGCCATCCCCATCCTGACTCCACCAAAGACCACTGATGAGCACAATCAGTGCTGCCTTAGTACTGTACCCTAGCCTGGAACTCAACTGGAATGGGTCCAGGTAATCTGCTTCCTCCAAGATCCAGTGTAACTGTTGTCTGACCACCTTTTCAACAACTTTCCCTACAAAGGGAAAGTTGGAGACCTGACAGTAACTGTCCAAGATGGAAGGATCCAGCAATGGCCTCTTGAGAAGGGGAAGCACCACTACCTCCTTCAAGGCTGGGGGGACCATCCCTCCTTCAAAGAGGCTGACACCATTGCACGGACTCAACCACAGGTCATCTCTCAGCCCACCTTGATGACCCAAGCCTAACTGAAGTCAATTTGGAGGAGGAGTCACAGATCAAATTCGTAATTAAAAGGGGATAATGTAGTCCAGATGCTGTGAAACTCCAATAATGAGCTACACAATAAGATTGTCTGGAAACAGAGAACGATGATAACAATTCCCTTTGTTCAGTAGAACTACCAGCAATATATTGGGAGGATTGCAAACAGGATGGGAAAGAGTTCTGAGAAAAATGTCTTGAATAAAAATCCGTGAATGGGCTACCGGGTCGCCAAGCACCACTCTATCGCTCCCATCAATGAAGGAAGAAATGGAGAGGGTAAGGCTTTTCGCACGAGAGCAGTAGCTTACACTTAGAGGGTGTTCGGAAAAGAGATTACAGCGGACAGAAGAGGAGGCTGCAATCCAAAAACCTTGTTCCTCCTGTCCTTCCCCCCCGTCCCCCCAAATACAGCGCCCTGCTCCAACACTTTCCCCAGCCCCTCTGAACCAGAAACGCCTCGATCCGGCTCCTCTGGAGAGTCTGCAAGGCAGTATCCGGGGTAACACAGACCGTGGTTCTGCTCCCCAAGGCTAAGTGACGTGAGAACGTAGCCTGGAGATTTCCCGACCCGACCAATGACAACTTGGGGCGGAGAAGGCGATTTTAAAAAACGAGTCCCTCTGCCGAACCGCAAGAGGAAAGCTGTAAGGGGCGTACCCGGAAAAGAAGTTTCCGAGCGGCGCGGCCGCGGGAACCGCTCACGGCCGAAGGAAACGGCACCGCCGCCGCCGCCGTGTGCTGTTCGAGAGGGGCGGCGCCACGGCAAGCGAGCCGCCCCCAGAAGGAGAGGCGACCGCGCGGCTCCCCCCCCCGGCTTCTCCTGCCTTCCTGCGAGTACGGGCCCAGGGTGCGCTCGCCGGG